CAGTTCCGTGAGTGGGCGTTAAAGTCCCCGTTGATGATTATTCCGTCAGATCTGGATAATTTAGCTCTATAGAGACAATCAGATAATTGACTTATAAATTGGTTTCTTTCATTTGCAGTTTGGCTTGGAGATCTGTAAAAAATACCATACAGAAGCTTTTTATATTTAAGCTGTAATTCAATCCAAAGGCAATCCAACTCCGTGTTACACAAGTCCTCTCTTATTTTATATATCATGTCATTTCCCACATAAATTATAAAGCCACGTCCCTTTTCCGAGTATAAAGGATTATGATAGCCATCGATGTAATATTTACTAGTCAGATAATGCTCAGGAATTTTCCCCGCTTCACACAGACCGATTATATTAATTTCCAATTGTTTAGCGCGAATGGATAGAGCGTCAAACCTTAGCCCGTTTTCGGCCCCAAGGCTACGTATATTCGAAAAGAGTATTTTTAAGTCATTTTCAGGTTTAAGCCTAGGCCCTGGGTTGGGATGTACGTCACCGGCGAGAAGAAGTTTGAATCCTGACAGACTTATATATTGAAATGTCGACGTCGTTTGGAAGAGAGTTAAATAAAATGCAAGTAGTTCAGCCGCAATAAGTATATAGGTTTTCACATAATATGATTTAGCGAATAATTGCGATATGCAACAAAGTAACAGTAGTGAGGACAGATTGCCGCCAGCGACACACGCAAAGGAGAATGGAATAACCGGCCGATCTTTATGATCTTGGGTTACACTTATAGGATATACCAAGTAAAGGCACAAAGTTACAATGATAAAGAGGAAGATGAGAGCGGTTAACGGTTTCATATAAATTAAATAAGGGAACTTAAGGTGTGTTTCCCTTTTCTTAGCCATACCTTTGAGACAGCAGAAACAACCAACCGTCACCCTCCACTGCATCAAGCTAATCCCCATTTAGATGGTACACCTCCCACGATACATCCCCCCTGATCCCCATGCCAAGTCCCTCCTCCGGCTCCCCTTCACAACATATAAAACAGTTAAAGAACATGGTTATATAAATGGGAAAGAACAAAACAGAATAGATAATACTCTTGACAGGTCGTATAGTGTAGATTGAGATGGCACGGTGAAAAGAAAAGGCAAGGTTTGGGATGGCTTCGGAATTAAATACGGCTGTAAGTTTTCTACCAATCTCCATTAGTAAGGTCATTGATGTGCAAGGCTTGCATGTGCTTACTTATGTCATCTGGACCAGTTATTGATTACTATTTCGTCCATCATAAAACAGATAATGGTCATCAGAAGTTGATAACAGTAAGTCATCCATCTTAACCATCGTTTGGTGTCTCATCCATTATGAGCCAGGTATCGTGTAATTAAATTGACATTTTTCTAGTTACACACCAGCTTAAATATGCATTTATCCATTGATTAATAGAGACATGACTCTAAAACCTACGTAAAATCAAACTAAAGCTCATCGAGGATAATCACCAATAAATGTTTGGTCAGTTACACCTCAGATTAAAATTTAGTATTTTCTGACTGGCTATATAGAGAGACAACTCCATAGTTACATTCTCCATGTGGTAACAAGATAACCGACCAGTCGTGTAGATGTTTACATGCTTGACTAAAAAGATGTGATATAGCTGACTAACTTGGCTGTTCTTTAGTGACAAATGGAAGCACACAAGCTTGACTAAGTAGTGATGTTGTATAGCTAGCTACGTTGACTGTTGTTCAGTGGCAAATTGAAAGCACACAAAAGACTGCACGACGGCTACTCACACCACTTGCTTGCGTGGTTTACGAATTACGGGTGGTTTGGCAGGGGCATTTTCCATGTCGGTGATAATATTGTCAATGTCGTCAGTTACTTGGAAGACACGAATGACTCCGTTTTTGGTTTTCCCAAGAATTTTCCCTCTGTCTGACCAACAATTAGAGATCGAACCGTGATCCGTCAGTCTTCTTAAAAGACCACGATTCATTGGGCTTAAATCTTCATAGACACGGATCCCGGTCCCTTTCAACAGAAATCTATTTCCAATAAAGTCATCACGGACAGCTTTAGAATTCAGCCTAATTATAATTTGGCTTTGATCTGCCCTCTTATGTTGAGGTAGCCTATGCGCCGTTTCTATATCATCGCTGACAAGTTTTGGATGAATCGGTGTGTCAGATAAAGTTTTCACCAAGCTGGAGATGCAATGCTTCACATTGAAAGGCTCTTTTTTCTCCATTTCACTTAAGGGGACCCCGGAAAATCTTAGCTGTAAGCGTCTCGAATACTGAGAGTTCTGATTAGCAAGAAGTGTTACTTGATTTAGATCCTCTTTTATTTTCAGATTTTCTGCTCGTAACAAGCTAAGTTCGTCCTGCAGCTCCGCATTAATTTCGGCAAGCTCGGATTTGATGGGAGCTATTTTAGATGTAATGGCCTCATTTATTGCCGCTCGAATTTTCACATCGACAGATTTCATTTTCTCATCCAAATGTTTCTCGAAATCAGTGAGCATGTCTTTCATACGTGATTCAAACTGGCTTAGAAAGTTAAGAAGATTCGGGTCGGGATCATTAGAAAAGGCATCAGAAGACACGATCCTATTTTCAGGCGTATTTGGCCTACCTCTTTTACCAGGAGGCTGTACGGGGCTTGACTGGTCGTCGTCATCATATATTCCTCCATCTTGGATGTCAATCCCAGTCCTTTCCCTGGTGCCCGTTAGGAAACTAGTAATAGCAGACTGTGCCATCTTTTGCTTGCATCCACCTGCGTACAGACACTGCTAGGAGACTTTATAAGATATGTCGAGACCTCGAATTTCACTAAGCAGCAGCCAAACTAAAGAAAGACACTCTAACGTCCGAGCCTCCCTAATCTGTGACCATTACATCTCGTGACGTCACAACCTCCCAAATAAATGAGGTTTTTATTATTAAAGCATCCCAATTAAAACATACTGTCGCCTATTGCTCTAGCACTGTAAATATTTAACACTAGAGTAGTGGCGACTAAGGTTTGTACATGTATATCTAACATTTTAATTTTTATGGAGCAGTACATATGAACCCAAAAAATAAATCACATAAGAATCAGTTTACTGAGTTACGCATCATTTTCTGATTTCATTGTTTGTTCTCTGTTGTCGCAACTCTGTGGTTGCGTGCGACGTTGTATATGTGCGCACGCTTGTTTTTACGTCGCTTATTCTTCTTTGTTACGTTAAAATGATACATACGTTACCGATAAATACGTTACCATGAAGCGTGTAAATATTTATTTATTCTATTTTCATTGGTTTTCTTTCGTTTTGTGGGCCGGCACTTATGTCTTAATGCTACATTAAAATGAAAGAAAACGAGACAAATAAGATTTCTTGCCTTCAACTATCTGTGAAAATTGTCCATTTGATTCATACGTTACCGATATATATGTACGTGACCAAATGTCACGACTTTGTGAGTGGGTGTGACTTTGTATATGTGCGCACTACGTTTTACGGCCTTCATTCCTCTTTGTTACGTAAATATGATACATATACGTTACCAAATAACGTGAAGGTATTGTTTTCTGATTTCATTGTTTGTTCTCTGTTGTCGCGACTCTGTGGTTGTGTGCGACGTTGTATATGTGCGCACGCTTGTTTTTACGTCGCTTGTTCTTCTTTGTTACGCTAAAATGATACATACGTTACCATGAAGCGTGTTAATATTTATTCTATTTTCATTGGTTTTCTTTCACTTTGTGGGCCAACACTTATGTCTTTTATTTGTGTTTCATTAATATAGTGTTGGCGCACAAAAGGAGAGACAACCAATGAANACACAAAACACAATCATAGCGATGACGTTGGTGGGGTTGGTCTGGGGAGGGAAGCACAGATGTTTAAGAAAAAAGTATGTGTATAAATATATATATTGCATTTATACACATACTTTTTTCTTAAACATCTGTGCTTCCCTCCCCATACTTGGTCGCAAAGTCTGTCTCGCCCCTTATTTCATATGTTTCTGTTTACAAAGGTTCACCTTACATCTATAAACCATTTTAAATTGTGTAGTTGCCAGGTGGAACAGACTTGAAGTAGCAGGCCACAAATCATTCGTTATTCACAACCAGAGCCAAAAAGACAAAAATAGCTGTCACTCCTTTAAAATTAAAATGAGTAGTCCGAGGTTGAAAATCCGCCGACTGTCTTGTCATCCATATTAACACGTTAACAATTAATTCATGGCCAAAACAACAGTAAATCCAAATGCAGAAATATGCAGAAAGCTGTAAAATACTATGAATTTTAAAACTGTTTAATATCCACTCGACAACTTTGTTAACAGACGAATGCTGGATTTATTCAATAAAGGAACTAATTAAAAAATTTACATTTTTAAACCTGCAATAAAAGTGATATATTGAGGAAATAAAAGAGGAAACCATTGCCATTTGAAATCTGAGCACGTGGAGTGCAAACGTGGGTGCGCACAAGTGCGTGGCACCATTTCACACAAAACATAAACAAATACAACTTACATCTCTGATTAAATCGTCTCATTTGGCAAGGTTAACGGCTAATTACAAACCCTGGACCGAATCCCCTTGTCATGAAAAAACATTTACCAATGTAAGAAATACTATTGATTTAATTCTTATTTGCTCTGGTAGCTTGAGGGAGCTTCCAGCCACTTCTTCTCGCACTGATGACAATTTGCCTTAATTTTGTTGTGAAGTTCGAAAGAATACACAGAATGTTCAGCACAAAAGCGGATTCTGTTACCTCATGGCCAGAACTCACACGGACTACTACCCTACCACGTGAACAGCCTGGTCGTGACACATACTCAATGGCTACCCTAGTTTCAAAGCCGAAGAGAGTGAACTTTGAAAGTTATCACGAGCTCGTGTGTTGGACTAGCTAGCCTGAACTTTTTTCATTTTTAGATATGAGTTAAAATACTTTATATCATCTCTGGTTGTATAACTAAAATTCCTTGGCCAATAAATAATGTTAATTTACATAACTTGTGGCGCCAAACGGGACGATTCTGTAAATTACAATGCGATTAATATTTAACAGTTGTAATCTTTGCAGTTATAAATAGGAAAGCGTAGCGCGTGGCGTGTATTGTGGAGCTGCAACGTCGAAAGTCGTGAGGTAAAGCTGTGGTCAACTCCGGTCAAGCTGTGGTCATTTTACGATGGCGATACGCTTCCTTGTGCTGATCACTGCTACTGTTCTTGCGTTCAGCAAGCTCGCCACTGCAGGTAAAGTTAAACTACTTTGTGCGCATTTTTTTCTCTTTTACTCTTGAATGCTCATCTCCCTGTTATTTTTGCTTTTTTCGTTTTAGTTTTCTAAAAGTCTAAAGAGAGTTTTTTTTTATTGGTGAGACAGCTAGATCTTTGGGTGGATTAAGGCGCGGGACTTACTTTCCAACCTTTCATCTGCAGGTCCGTCGTACAACTTCTACGATGAGATAGCGCAGGCCGCCTGCACGGCAATGAACACTAGGGCAGGATGGGTGTACGCTGTGAGGAGGACATGTAATAGTTGGACCGTCCCTTGCCAGTATATCTGTTCTTCACCGAGTCTCGCAGCCCAGGATCCACAAGTTAGCAGCAGGGGGTCAGTTTATGCGTTTGGTTTTGCACGTCTTTAGAGAAAACTTTGAGGACCTACTATTTGTATTTATCAGAAGTATTAATTAATTTAATATGCATAGTTTCAGCTGTGGTGGCGAGTTCTGGTCTGCAATTTAAAGGAGATCGATACGTTATAAAGGCCAATTTTTGGCAAAATTGTTTATGTGAACTATCTTATCTTTAAATGATTGTGTCGTTTTAATAGGTTGGAGTGCTTCAACTCCCTTCATGTCTACCAAAATCGACCTATTCTTCCATCTGACATCCAATCAGGCACTAATAAACTGGGGCTGAAGATTTACCGCTACCAGACGTGTTATTATGGCTCCTGTGGACCGAACTATTGCTGCTGTCGTTCTAAATAGATGTACACGACCATTGGATGTCAACATACAGGGTGTTCCTGATGTTTGGGCAAATAGACATAATGCATGTTTACATAGAGAACTTGAACAATATTTCCTGTTATTGAATTATTAATTAACACATCTTCATTTTCAACTTATCTGACAATGACTTTGATGAGGAAGAAGAATGTTAGCTGTGAAAAGATGTGTTGCTGCCGTTGTTAACAATAGATCATGACGAAAAATCGACTTTGAAATAAACAGCTTGATTGTTTCAGATATAATGAACTAATACGGACTTTTCAACCGACTTTTCTATCAAAGCCTCTTCTTTTACTGTCACCTGTCTGTCAAACTACCCTTTATGCCAACCTATATAAACGGTCTTTGGTTTTTAAGCGTAGTGTTCTTCATTCTGAATTTACCATGTTAATTTCCACAAGATTGAAACAGTAATTCGTGGAATCAAATTTTGATTATATTTTGATTACTTGATATCGCGTACATAGCTCATTTTATCATACCTGTGCCTGTCAGACGCGGGATGTACTACTGACGATCTTTTCATGGCTACTCTTGACAGATTTTTGTCTTGTCTGCGAGGTTTTTTTCAGTTCATTTATTGTCTGCGGTTTTGAATTATTCTCAAAATATTTGTATGGATTAAAGCGACTGCAGGTTATATAAATGTTCATTTTTTAATTACACTTTATGATGTTAAGTGATTGTGTAAATGAATAGCACGTTTTTTCTACTAATAATTTATAATGCCTTCCGTTTCCCCCAGGTTTAATAAAATAAGGCTCAAAACTCCTTACGGTATGACTCTCTGTGCAAGGCAATTTCTGAAGTGCAATAGCTGGCGGTTTTGAACCCCAATTCCAGGGCCCCGTATCTCGAAAGCATCGCGTATTGCGAATAGCTATATCAAATAGAGGCTACAATGTATTACATGGGACGAGTATGGGCGAGTTATGGAATCGAGACGTTTGCGCACGGTCGCAATGCGCGATGCTTTCGAGATACGGGGCCCAGGTCGCTTAAATACGAGTTTCAAGATGTAATCAGATATATTACCTCTGGTTGCCATATTCAAATGCCTGTGTACAACTTCTTTTGGCGTTGATGTATTTTTTTCACCAAAACCGGTATAACAAAACTGAGGGTCCGTGTTACAGAAAGTCCGCTCTCTATTTAGTTATAGTGGTTAGGGTTAGCCTGACCTAAGTGGGTCAAAATCTAGGGCGAGGCTGACCTGAACAATTAAATGGGAAGCGGACTCTCTGTTATGAGGGACTCTGTCACGTTAAATTCTAGTCAGTGTATAAGTACCACAGAACCTCGTTGACATACATATATTTATTATGATACCACATACTTTCTACATTTACAACATTCTTATATAGATTAATTAATTGATATATGATGACGACTTTGTACAAATAATATCAATATATTTTTAACATTGTTATCATCTTGATCAATCCATCCACCTTGACGCTAGAGCCTCCTTAAAGAATACTCTAATAAAAATATCTTGGTTTGGTGACATTGTTTGCTGGGGTTGGGAAGGGGGGTGGACAGAAGGTGCAGAAGGATTACAGAATGATTAAAACACATATATGGTTACAGCGAGGGAGGCTGGTAAATACACAGTAAAGGACTCGTAAAATATCAAATAAACTGCGCGGGATACATTTCCCAACATGACTGACGTCTTTGGCCATCTAAATCTGCTTTTCACTTCAAGATTAAACTAAATTTTCTGAGCTTTCTCTCAAAAATATTCAACACGTCAAGATTACGTGAACTATAGGTGTCTCACCTATTGAATAAATTTCTCTCTCTCACTCTCGTTCCACTGACAAATATTGGTATATCTAACCTCTGTAAAAATGTGCAGACCTTTTGTAAAATGCCACATTGAAGTGACATCAACTGCAGATAAGCAGCATCTGGACACTGCCCAAATTAATCAGAACCAAATCCTGAAATACTACAGTACAGATAAACATACATGTGTCACCTTGTTTCTGTGCATTTATCAGTCTATTATCATTTTATCATTCCCAAACATAAATGTATGGCTCTGAATCTATATCTTTGTCCCTCCTCTTACAATGCCAAAGGAAAAGAAAGAAAACTAAATTTACTGCCAAAACCCGATTTAATAGCCACTATTTACTGCACCTCAATTACATATTAAAAGGACAGAATTCTCCAAAACGAGAAAACTTCCTATCCCTCTGCAAGTCATCTCCATAGCCTGACCATCTACAAGCTACCATTTAGTTTTATTTTCTCATGTTTCTCCCTCAGTTGCATTCAATACTGTGGAGGAGGTTGTTGGTAAGAGTTGTACTGTGGCTGCTGCTGATTCTGCTGCTGTTGTTGCGTCAATTGCCGCTGTAACTGTGCCACCAACTGTGCTGTCTGTTGCTGTTGCTGCGTTTGTTGTTGTTGCTGTTGCTGTTGTCTCATTGCCAGCAGTTGCTGCTGCTGTCGTAACTGCTGTAATCGTTGCTGATGTTGGGGTGTAGGTAAATTCTGCATATAAGAAGACTGGGAAGGTTGCGACGGTCCCATCTGATTGTACCCTGCCATGGGAGCAGGACCCCTAGGGTTTTGGATACCCCCTGGGGCATTCATTGGGGTCCCTTGGTTGGAGATCCCCCCTGGTCCTCCTGACATCGCCCCAGGGCCGCCTAGACCCTGTAGAACCCCTGGTTGACCATGCCTGGACCCATTCTGGAATATTACACAGAAACAGGTAAAACGTGAGATCAGCCAATATGCAGTAATTACATTTTCACATGTATACATTACTTTATTTTACTTTTTTAAAAGTAGAGATTCAATGTGATTTATTTCAAAAGATTAAGATGAAACTTACATGAGCCTATAGGGCTATTGAAATCCCCCTCACGTTAACTAAAAATGAAAATAACATGCAGCAGGAGTATTTACTTTCACTTAATGTAGCGATGATTACCTGCCACTTTATGCTTGAGAAAAGACATGTTAGTTTACAAATTAATAATTTTGTTAGAAGTTTGGAAAAAAATCACATCCAATACGACACGATTCACTGCACAAGTAGAAGAAATTATTTTAGCTATATATTTTGAAGCTAAGGAGGAAAAATGTTATCTGTGCCTGGATAAAACAGTGCTCTGGAGCTGTGCCTAAAAAATCGTTTGCTTTGGCTGTAGATCAAAGGTTAAATAAAATCGACAAATAAGATTAACAGAACAGAGAAAAGAAATTGAACAATATTAACAAGCAAATATATAAAATAAACGAATAAATAAATATGATTATTTTTGTGCCTCGGGGTTACGTCCTCATCCAAACCCGAACTTTCAAAGCAGACGACAACCACCACACCAAACACAATCAACACCACCAACACCACACCAAACACAATCAACACCACAACCAACCATCACACCAAACACAACAACACAACCAACACCACACCAAACACAATCAACACAACCAACACCACACCAAACACAACAACACAACCAACCATCACACCAAACACAACAACACAACCAACACCACACCAAACACAACAACACAACCAACCATCACACCAAACACAACAACACAACCAACACCACACCAAACACAATCAACACCACAACCAACCATCACACCAAACACAATCATAAGACCACTGGTTGGGTGGGTGGAAAGGGGGAGCACAGATGCCTAAGAAAAAATGCACACACACTTGGCCAAAATGTTGTCCCGCCTGTAATTCCATGGGCTTTTGTGTACAAATGATCACCTGGCAGCTGTAAACCATTCAAAATTGTCTTGTTGGTATGTAAAAAGGCTCTGAGCAAAAGGTTAACAGTCATTCGTTACTCTCTACCAGATCCAAAAAGGCTAACATAGCATCGCTGTCACTCAATTAAAATTGAAATGAGTAGTCCTACGTTGAAAATCTACAAGCTGTCTTGTCATCCATATTAATAAGAATGCTGACAATTAATCCACAGTCAAAACAACAGTTACTCCAAATAAGAAATATGCCGAAAGCTGTAAAATAATCTGAATTTCAGAACTGTTTAACTTTGTATACAGACCAATGCTGGATTTATTGAAGAAAGGGCCTCATTTTAAAAAATATTTTAAAAAGTTCACGTTTTTAATCTTGCAATAAAGGTGATATATTGAAATAAAAGGAATCTTTGCCATTTGAAATCTGAGCACGTGGAGTGCAAATGTGCGTGCGCACAGGTGCGTGACAACTTTTCACACAAAACATAAAATGTGGACAAATACAACTTACATCTCTGATTAAGTCGTCTCATTTGGCAAGGTTGACGGCTGCTGTCACATCCTGGATCGCGTCCTCTTTGTATGAAAAAAATCATTTACCAGTGTAAGAAATACAATTGATTTATGACAGCTTGAGAGCTTTCTGAGAGCTTGAGTGAGCTTTCAACTGATAACAATTTGCCTTGAATTTGTTGTGAAGTTCGGAAGAATACACAGAATGCTCAGCGCAAGAGCAGAACTGCTCTCACGAACTACTGGACTACCACGTGACCATCCTGTTCGTGACAAATACTTCATAATTACCTCGGTTTCAAAGCCGACGAGGGATATCTTTTCACATTTTTTTATGCGATCTCGTGTGTTGGGCTAGTCTGAAAGCCAGAGACGTTTTATTATGTTTTTCTGCACTAAACGCAAATGATAGATATTTAGTTTGCGTCTTTCTGCGGAACAATGAAATACAGGGGTTTGAAAATTTCCCAGTTATATTTCTAAGATCGCATTCACAACGAGTTGAGCCAGGCTTTACAAATCCTGGGGACTAAATATGGCGGTCGTACATGAAAGAAAAACCGCCTAATCTTTTAATAGTCTCTCCGCCTCTCACACACCTCCCCACACGTCGCCGCTGCGGGGGGACAGTCATTAAATCTCGGCTCCATTGGGACGACACATGGGGAGGCGTGTGAGAGGCGGCGAGACTATTAAAAGATTAGGCGGTTTTTCTTTCATGTACGTCCGCCATATTTAGTCCCCAGGATTTGTAAAGCCTGGCTCAACTCGTTGTGAATGCGATCTAAATGTACACATCTTTCAAAGATACTTAAATTTCCCAATTAGAACCTTATTATTAAAAATTAAATAAGAGTGCCTGGTGTTAACAATACTTCTGGAATATGACAGGATGGAATGCCGTTGTAAACAAACGGCCAGTTTGATACAACTAAGATATCAAATTTAAAAATTGGAATAAAATATTGAATCCAAGTAAAGGGACAGTAATAATTCTATTGCGAGTTGGAGGAAATTGGTTTTTCTCCCGAGGAAAATAGTTTTTGTCCATTTTATTCCCAAGAAAGTATCTTTAACGGACGCTATGTGAACATAAGCATTAATTTAGAACGAAATTTTTGAATGTTTATGGTTGTTTATATCACCTCAGATAGCATAACTTAAAATTGCTCTACCGTAAATAATGTTTACAAGTAACTACTTTACATTAATTGAGGCGCAAAACGAGACGATACTATAAATTACATCGCGATTCATATTTCACAGGTGTACTCCTCTTGTGTGTTAAATACCATTGCGTGGAGAGTTGGAGAGTATTGTGGAGCTGCAACGTCGAGTCTGAGGTAAAGTTGTAGTCAACTCCGATTTTACGATGGCGATACGATTCCTTGTGTTGATTACTGTTACTTATCTTGTGTTCAGCAAACTCGCCACTGCAGGTAAAGTTAAACCACTTTGTGCGCAATTTTTTTTCTCTTTAACTCTTAATTGCTCTTTTTCCTTTTATGTTTCCTTTTTTCCTTTATAGTTTTCTAAAAGTCTGAAAAGGTAGGATAATTATATTGGTGAGACAGCTAGAACTCTGGGTGCATTAAGCTGATACAAAACCAATCTGATGTAGTTCTGCCTTGGCGGGGCTTAAATCTCAACCTTTCATCTCCAGGTCCGTCGTACAACTACTACGATGAGATAGCGCAGGCCACCTGTACGGCTATGAACACTAGGGCAGGCTGGGTGTATGCTGTGAGAAGACCATGTAATAGTTGGACCGTCCCTTGTCAGAATATCTGTTCTTCACCGGGTCTCGCAGCCCAGGATCCACAAGTTAGCAGCATAGGGTCAGTTTATGCGTTTGTTTTTGCACGTTTTTATATAAAAAAACTTTGACGGCCTACTATTTGCATTGATCAGAAATATTTTAATATTAATTAAAATTAATTTAATATATACAGTTTCAACTGTGGTGGCGAGCTTTGGCCGGCCATTTAAAGGAGATCGATACGTTATTAAGGCCTATTTTTGGCAAATTTGTAAAGTCATGAAGTAGGCCTACTTATCTTCACATGATTATGACATTAAAGATCATTAAAGATACATAATTTATATTCTCACATTTGTTTTTTGTCCTGTTGTTGTTAAATACCCCATAGCCTTAATTATTGTTATTCGGAGAATTCTCAATGTTTGTTGGTTCTGTTGGTTCAATCCATAGGTTGGAGTGCTTCAACTCCCTTCATGTCTACCATCGACCTGTTCTTCCATCTGACATCCAATCAGGCACTAATAAACTGGGGCTGAAGGTTTACCGCTACCAGTCGTGTAATCAAGGCTCCTGTGGACCAAACTATTGCTGCTGTCGTTCTAAATAGATGTACATTACCTTTGGCAACATATAGGGTTTCCCCGATGTGTGGACATTTAGACATAATACATGTTTACATATAGAACGTGAACAACATTTCCTGTTATTGAATTATTAATTAACACATCTTCATTTTCGACTTATCTGACAATGGCTTTGATAAGCAAAATGAATGTTAGCCGTGAACAGATGTGTTGCTGCCGTTGTTTACAATAGATCCAGACAAAAAAATCGACTTTTTGAAATAAAGAGCTTGATTGTTTCAGATATAATGGACTGTTACGGACTCTTCATCGCCAACTGACTTTCTATCATAGCCTCTTCTTTTACTGTCGCCTGTCTGTCAAACTATCATTTATGCCAACCTCAATAAACGGTCTTTGGTTTTAAAGCGTAGTTTTCATCATTCTGAATTTACAATATTAATTTCCACAAGACTGAAACAGTAATTCAGCGAATAAAATTTTGATTACATTTTGATTACTTGATATCGCGTACATAACTCATTCATTATCCCTGTAATAGTCAGACGCGGGATGCACTGCTGAATATCGTGTCATGGCTACTATTTACAGGATTTTGTCTTGTCTGCGAGTTTTTTTTTTCTTTTCATTTGTTGTCTGCAATTTTGAATTATTTTCAAAATATTTGTAAGGATTAAAGCAACTGCAGGTTATATAAATTTTCATTTTTTAATTACACTTTATGATGTTAAGTGATTGTGTACATGAATAGTACGTTTTTTCTACTAATAATTTATAATGCCTTCCGTTTCCCCTTGGCTCAAAACTCCTTACGGTATGACTCTCTGTGCAAGGCAATTCCTGAAGTCAATAGCTGGCGGTTTTGAACCCCAATTCCAGGTCGCTTAAATACGAGTTTCAAGATGCATTCGGATATATTACCTTTGGTTGTCATTTTCAAATGCTTGTGTACAACGTCTTTTGGTGTTGATATTTTCTTTTCATCAAAACCGGGACTCACATTAAATTCTAGTCAGTGTATAAGTACCACAGAACCTCGTTGACATACATATATTTATTATGATACCACATACATTCTACATTTACAACATTCTTATATAGATTAATTAATATATATATGATGACGACTTTATACAAATAATATCAATATCTTTATAACATTTTTATCACCTTGATCAATCCACCCACCTTGACGCTGTATTCATGTGTAATACTTCAGGGACAATGAGGTCTTATGAACATAAACGCTGCCACCCTCCTTAAAGAATACTCCAATAAAAATATCTTGGTTTGGTGACATCGTTTTACAGAATGAATAAAACACATATATGGTTACAGCGAGGGAGGCTGGTAAATACACAGTAAAGGATTCGTAAACGGGATACATTTCCCAACATGACGTCTTTGGCTATCTTAATTTGCATTTTACTTCAACATTAAACTAAATTTTCTGAGCTTTTCTCTCAAAAAATGTTCAAACATTAAGGTTACGTTAACTATAGGTGTCCCATCTATTGAATAAATTTCTCTCTCTCTCTCTCTCTCTTTGCTGACAAATATTGGTATATCTAACCTCTGTAAAATGTGCAGACCTTTTGTAAAATGCCACATTGAAGTGACATCAACTGCAGATAAGCAGCATCTGGACACTGCCCAAATTAATCAGAACTAAATCCTGAAATACTACAGTACAGATAAACATACCTGTGTCACCTTGTTTCTGTGCATTTATCAGTCTATTATCATTTTATCATTCCCAAACATAAATGTATGGCTCTGAATCTATATCTTTGTCCCTCCTCTTACAATGCCAAAGGAAAAGAAACAAAACTAAATTTACTGCCAAAACTCGATATAACAGCCACTATTTACTGCACCTCAATTACATATTACAAGGACAGAATTCTCCAAAACGAGAAAACTTCCTATCCCTCTGCAAGTCATCTCCAAAGCAAGACCATCTACAAGCTATACCATATAGTTTTATTTTTCCATGTTTCCCCTCAAGAACATTCAATACTGTGGAGGAGGTTGTTGGTAAGAGTTGTACTGTGGTTGCTGCTGATTCTGCTGCTGTTGTTGCGTCAATTGTCGCTGTAACTGTGCCACCAACTGTGCTGTCTGTTGCTGTTGCTGCGTTTGTTGTTGCTGCTGTTGCTGTTGTCTCATTGCCAGCAGTTGCTGCTGCTGTCGTAACTGCTGTAATCGTTGCTGATGTTGGGGTGTAGGTAAATTCTGCATATAAGAAGACTGAGACGGTTGTGACGGTCCCATCTGATTGTAACCTGCCATTGGAGCAGGGCCCCCAGGATTTTGAATACCCCCTGGGGCATTCATTGGGGTCCCTTGGTTGGAGATCCCCCCTGGTCCTCCTGACATCCCCCCAGGGCCGCCCGGACCCTGGAGACTCCCCTGGTTGACCATGCCTGGACCCATTCTGGAATATTACACAGAGACAAGTAAAAAAACGGGAGATCAGCTTATGTGCAGTAATTACATTTTTCCCATACCTCACTTTATTTTACTTTTTTAAAAAAATAATCATACTCAGACATTTTCAATACTGCCTAACAATCCACTTTCTAATATAAAGCCAAGTAACTTTCCAAAACTATTGAATCAGCATTTTTTGGATTGCATACAAAACATTTCTGGGGAATATTTATTAATTTATGATGTTGAAATTTACTGAATATTACTAGTTATACATTTTCCAAACAATTCTTTTGACCAAAAATAAAAGTTAAGTTATTTGAAAACCATAAAACAGAAAAGCTGTTCTAAATCTTTAATGTTTAGCAATGCTTCTATTATTGCCTGCACACAGAGATTAACCCAATTTCTTTCTTAGGAATTTGCCAAAAGAAAGTAACATCTTCAAATGAAGACAAACATCCTAATAAGCTGTTACTGTACCTGTTGGGTTGGCCATACATATTCTGCTGTGGAGGTGGACCCTGAGCCGCCATTGACATATACCCAGCAGACGACTGCGATCTCATTGGCTGATTCATCATGCCCTGATCCTGCATACTGTTATATGATTGGTTGAAGTTGGGTGACATCATTGTAGAGGGCGTTGGTGTGTTGTGGACTTGTCCACCAGGTGGCAGAGCTGGCTCCATCATTTGGGTTTGCTGGGACTGCATACCATAGTTGTTGTAATTCTGGGATAATCCTGAAAATAAGGTTTATTGTGGATATATAGGTTGTAATTCAAAGTTTCAAATATTGCACATATTTAAATATTCTTAGAAGAGAGCAGATCCATAGAATAAAAATTGGAAAATGTGTGAAAATGGGGGGTCCAAGTCATAAATACATCACCCAAATATCCAGATAAAAACCAGTTATTTATCTGTATATAATTAAGAAAAGATCAAAGAAAAAGATTAAGAAGAAGAAGAAAAATGAGACTGTCTCCTGGAATCAAAGGTGTGACTTAAATATTAACATCAGTGCTATTTCCCTGTGTCATACCATCAGTTGTTGTTACCTTGCTGCGGCAGATGGTGCAATGGTTGCTGCCCTGACACCGACAACTGCGGCTGCTGCTGTTGCATGTTGGGATTGGAGTACATTCTCTCCATGTTATTCTGCATATTACGGCCATGTTGTGCACGCAGCTGCATCCTAATCATCTGTTGCTGGCGCTGTTTCTGCAACATCTGGAGATTCTGCATGGCTGCCTGAGAGTTTAACGGTGGATAGGAGTGCGACGACGGCATTCGCTGGCGAAGCATCTGGCTCAAGGCGGCCTTTGACTGGGAATTGGGAAACCTCGGCCCACCTGGAATAACAACTTCTAAGCTAGAGTTCATTCAAACTGGATTCTATAAATTATGTACTTTCTTTGTGTGTTTGTGGGTGTGTGTGTATTGGGGGGGGGGGGGATATTAAAAGAAATAAACAGAAAGTAACACAATGGTTCACTTTTTATCAAAAAATGTAGGTTATCATGGGCACTAAGACTGGAATATTTCAACAAACAGAGGCCTGCATAAATTCTAGAGTCTTTTTTTTTATAATAAGGGGAAATGAAAAGATATTAGGCAATTATTTTGATGTGATTCTTACAGAAAAGTATAAATAATTTGAAAACCATGGTATTATACTAGACTATCTAGATCAAAATCAGACTTAAAAAGTACTTGGGGCACCTTAATAAATTATTGGATCACCAACAAATTCTAACAATTCTGACAGTTTCTGAAAGTTTGTCAGAAACTTCCCACAACTTCCTCTATAATGTTGATTACAAACCAAAACACCAACAAATAACCTCTTTCTCAGAGGTAAGAAAAAGGCAATTGACCTTCTCACACAAACTATCTTTTCTATATAAAACATTTCACTTGAGTCTTTGGTTTTAATTACCTGCTGTCAAAATAGGTTATAAAAATTAATAATGAAATAAACCGGAACCAACCCCCCTAATTGTTCTTTTTAGCTACTTTATTCTTTAAAATGTTAGTTCAAGTGGTCAGAAGAACTGGAATTTTTCCAACAGATTGAGACCTGCATAAATTCTAACATTAAAGTCAAGTAATATTTGGATTAAGTGGAAACGCATAGATATAAGCCAATTATTTTGATTTGATTGAGTAATAAATTATATATTTCTGACATAATATTAGTTCAGATTAAAATAAGACCAGAAAAGTATATGGAGGCAGCTTAATTCCCACAGTTCATCATCACCATCAAGAACATCATGATATACATTGTTATATATAGAAATGAATAACTGATTTATTTGCTTAGCTGATATTTCAGTAGCATTAATTATTCATAAAATGACTAATTTATTAGTTTAGTTTTCATTATTACTTAACTAATTGAATTTATTAGTTTATTAGTGTCATAGTTTTCATTATTACTTAATTAATTGAATTTATTAGTTTAGTTTTCATTATTACTTAATTAATTGAAGTCCTGAAAACTTCATCAAAATCCCTCCATCTCTTTTTACATTAAATTAAATGTTGCACCAAAAAGACAAACATTATTAGCTGATGAATTAATGACTAATTAATGTTAATTACTATTTGATAAAGTAACAGAACACCACCAAGATCTAATTGTTTGAAATTTGGCCCCTCCTAACAGTTGCCAAAAGTTCCCCTCAATCTTCTCACAATTATTTCCATAACGTTACTAACAACTCTACATCACCAAAAGCAGATAATAAAGGGATAATAACTCTTCCTATGAGATCTAGATTTTACAATAAAAACATTGTGAAAAACTCATAGAAATATAATATATTCTGTTTTACCACAAAAACGGCAGTTACAGCTATTATTCTGATATCTGAGCTTGTCTTTAGACCACGTGACCTCCATTGATGGCTATACTCTCTTAAGAGATTTTAACAAAAAACCAAATTTTTTAGAAAAAAAACCAGGGACTAACTTTGAATGTAAAAATGGATTCATTAACCATTGGTAAGTATGGGAAAATTATTGTTTACTCCAGGAAAATTCATTTTTTGGCCAAAAAACTAAAAACAAAAAACTAAACTAAGGCAAATTTTATGCTCACTCATACTTGGTATCTTTTGCTTCCAAAATGAAAACATCTAAAGGGATATCAACTCTTCATTTTGGCAGGATAAGTGTCATAAAATAGTTTTTTCCTGGGATAAACAAAAATCTTCCTACACTAATCAATAGTGGTTGTATCTGCTCTGACATTCAAGGTTAATTAATTGTATTTTGTAAGTGTTTTTTGTAATAATCTCTTAAGAGATTATTTCGAATGTGTAGCCATCTATGTAGGTATGCATGATTCAATGACAAGTACGTCATTTAGAATATCCACGCTTACACCATATTGTTAGTATAATGGAACTGATTTTTTTTTCTATGTAATTAGTGTGGAGTTTTGTATTTTAAGTGATCGGATGCTGCCATTTAGACAGTTTATGTTTTATTTACCTACACAATTTGCAGGTTATAAAAATTTAAAATAGGTTTTTAAGATCATACTAATGAATTTTTTCTTTTCATATTGAAAGTCATGCGAATGTCGGTTCAGGTGGTCAGAAGAACTGAAATTTTTTCAACAAATAGAGACCTGCATAAATTCTCCCATCAATACAATAGTATTTTTGAATTAAGAGGACAATCACAGATATAAGCCAATTATTTTGATGTTATTATAAGATAAAAATATTGATAATTAAATTTTTTCTGACATTATGTTAGTCTTTACTAAAACAAATAGGACTAGAGAAGCACTTGAACAAAGCTAAATTCTCAATGATATATATAAATGAATTATTCATTTGAAATAATTTACTACATCATGAGCTGAAATCGCATCACCATACATTTTCTATGAAATTTCCAATGAATTAAGTTTTCATTATTCCTTTAAAATAATAACACCTAACTCTGGCCTATTTCTGAACTGTCCTTAAATTTCATCAAAATCCTGTCATAACCTTTTATGTGTAATTAAATGCTGCATTTTCATAAATTATTTATACAATTGCCAAGTATTTTGTTTATTTTTTATTATTAATTGTTTAACTAAATCATCACTAAAATCTGGCACTTTTCTGATTGTTCATCAGAATCCTTCTTTCTTTTCATAAATTCACAAATGATGCCTTCATACCAGGAAAAACCAGAAATAAGTCTTTGTTCAAATGCTGTATAACTTTCAAGACTCATTTGATATACCCACACGGCAAATACGTTTATGCCATCCTCCCCTAAAAAAAGAAAAAAAAGTGATCAAGACTTACCTGGAGGAAGTTGCTGAGGAGAGTAATATGGCGGATGCTGCTGAAGTGACCAACTGGGTGGCGGCCCGCCTGGATAGCTCTCTGAACTATAACCACTGTAGCCTGTACGAACTGGACTCTGGAAATAAGAGCAAAAAAATATGAAAACTAAATCAAGTGAGAGTATGTGATCATTACTGGTCAGCTAAGTTATATGGTATTACATATTACTTTACTGTTTGAGACCTACTGCAAAGGAAGATGGTTAATAGTGGACATTAATTTATCATGCACACTTCTAATGAATTATATTCTAATGAATAATACACACATCACATTACAAACTACAAAATCCATCTACAGTCTAACTACATTTCAAATTATAGATTTAAAATAGGTCAGATTTAACTTTACTACAGAATATATTACCAACACAGAATATCCTCAAACACCTTGACAAAGTGCCTGGTGCCAGATTTTATATTATTTAAACAATAAAGACAAAACTTGTTTTATATTTTACATGCTATAAGAAATAATACAGTTAACCAAAATTCCAAATTGGCATGACATAAGAAATCCTCATTCATAAAACAAGCAGCTGCAGATATAGCAGAAACTACTCAAACCACCAAAGAGCCAAGCCGATCATATCCTAACATCATTATCATCAAATTATATCCAATCATTGCATGAAAATTATAAAGAATTAATAACTGATATACTATTGTATTATCTAAGATACAATCTCACTGACATTGATAATATTTTTAACAAGGCAGGGGTAATTCCACAGAAGTTTGTTTATTTCAGAAAGGAAAAATTTATTCTCTTGATATGATAAACATTTTGCTGAAAACTTTGGAATAAGGAAAAATAGATCTAAAACACATGAAGAACAGTAACTGAAATGTTAAAGAAGACTTAAAGATGCAGGAATAAAAAAAAGTTCTCAAAACCAAGAAAAAATTTCAACCATTTCGCATGAATCAGCAAAGCAGATGATAAAAATTCAACTTCATCAACACAGAGATTAAGGAGACAGAGTAAACTGCAGTCTGATACATTGTTTTTATTAGAAGGGTTTGATACCGAGATAGATGAAAAGCAATGGCTATCAGTAATTATACCATCAGCAAATTAGACATGAAATTTGCTGCATGAATTCCACTCCAGGTTTGAAAACAAATGCATTAACTGTGAGATCCCAGTAATGAGTTAGGTGTGTGATTAATTCACACTAAGGCAGCACAGCATTCATAGCCAAGCAACATCAAGTAAAACCACTTCTACAACTATGTACCAAAAGCTGCATTCACACTAGGCTGAGTTCAGATCGAAATAGTCCTAAAATATACTATGACCAGATTATGTCTGTATGACTCGACATTTGTTTTGGGGCTAAAACAGCCTTGATGTGAATGCAGCTATAGGAAAGCACTCTACACTAGGCACTAGCTATTGCATTGCGTTAGTTGTGACAACACAGCTCAACCAAGCACAATTTCTCCCCCCTTCACCACTGCAAAGCCAATACATAGACCTACTGACAGCTAAGTTGTACTCTCAACATACAGATAGGGAAACATTTCCATCTACTAAGGACAAATAATGAATAAATAAATATAACACAAAAGGGTTCTAACTATTCAAATCGGGAGGGATACTATGTGAATACTAAGTACTATAATATATGTATAAATATATATCATGTAGTAAATACAGTGAAACTAAGGCTGGTCCAAATCTATGTCAATAACAGATAACAGATGTTAGTTAATTCCATATCATGGTGTAGGTTAGTTGTGACTCTAGCTACATAAAGGCAGACCAGGAATGTGCTTCTCTCAAATATTCTTTATTTCACTGATGTTAGGGTCCCCGGGGAGTGGTGGACTTCTCTCTTACAGGGTGGGTTTATGGAATCATTTTCAATGTCTGACTTTTAACCTGATAGTAATTACTATAAAACAGTAGTGCCTACAACTTACTTCAACCTAAGGAGCAACAAGACTAATGTTTCTATTGTAAATTGACCTTGATGCTGATAGGTTTTTGAACATTAACAATGGGAGAATTTCTAAAATATAAAATGCAAGAGTGATAATCTCTCACCCAGGGACTGCTGGTAGTGCTTCTATTAGTGTAACTGGTGTGTGTGTGTCTGTGTGTGTGCACGCGTGTGTGTGAGAGACCATGATCATGTTTGCAGGTCTGGGTGTTGGGAAAATGGGGGGGAGGGGGGTAAGTCAGTGCCAAATTTGGGCAGATTTGTATGAAACGAATTGATGTAGGTGTACAGCAACACACTTACTTTCCACACATCTACCTTTAATTAGGGTGCAATGTTAAGCACAGCAGACAGAACAGTGCTGTACAAAATTCAATATCACCGTGACACAAACACCTAACCCCAAACTTCAATGGCAACATGAAAACCAACATGAAGACCAGTGTAACTGACTGAAGTGGGACATTTTGACCCTTTTTCAAAGGACACTGGTCATGATACTAAGGTGTCAATTTGATAAAGGGACAAAACCTCACACCTCATAAGTATGAAATATTTTTTAACCAATATTTATCTTTTCCACTTTGAACACAGAAGATGGGGACATTAATTTACACCACATAATGTATTCGGAAAGTTGATCAACAAATCAAATGTACCACTCCTATTGGGTTCTGCACAGATGTTACTGTACAGTGGCATGTATGATAAAAAGCATTGGGTGCACATAGCCACCACTTGCAATGTGTGACAATGATAAAGCAGCAAATACTCTACAGGTGTACATCTAACCTAGCAGGACATATTCTAATGTCCTATTCTACAGCTCCTAGGTTAACAAGCTACATCATTTTTACCAGACAACATATTAAATAACAGTTTAGAATCATATACAAGGGCTTACATTGAAGGGTATTCAAAGTTTATCATTTTTATCTATAAGATTTCAGTAAAATCAAAAGATGGGACACTGAAACAGACTTATAACAGCACATACTTAGTCTACCAGTCAACAGGGTTCTTTTTAAAATACGTTTTGAATTTTGTCCCAATCTGATTGTAATTCAGAATTTTTCATTTCTGAAGCAAATATATATACAAGAACTAGGATGAATAAGGAGCTGGGTTATCAGAAAGACATGGACTGCAATATGATGGTGATAAGATTGTGGTCAAATTTGTGGGTCAAACTCAAAAGTCACTATTTGAAAAAATCAGCTATTACTCCCACTAGACCTGGCCTAAAATATAAGACTTATCGTTATAATAATGTGTATAAATGGTAAAGTTTGCTTTTAAATGTGATAACAAGGTGAAGGTCACAGCTGGGTCAAGGTCAAGGACTGGAAACGTTTCCCTTCTGTACCAACTTACTGTCACATAGGGTGTTTGCGAAGGTACCCGTGAGGCGCGGCGCTGGCGCCGTGGTTTGGTTGTCTTCGTCTTGGGCTCCTCCTCTGGTGGTTTTTCCACAGGTTTTTCTTCAGGCTTGGAAGAAAACAATGAGCACCATTAATAATAGCTGTGTAAATATAATAACCCTTGGCTTGTAACTGAGCTCTATATTTTAAATTAAATCTTTATACATGTATGATGAGAGGCATTTTTGGAAAAAGTAAATAAATATTTCACAAATAAATAATGAAACTGAAAAAGAATATCATCAGTGATATTTAATATTTCCTCTAAAAAAATATTCCCACATTTTTCAAAATCCCATATTATATATTTTTAAACTGAAAACCAGACCAGTACATGAAACACAGAAGTACAATCCTGCAAAAGTTTTAATAATAATAATAATAATATTTATTTGCCCCTTCCTACCTGTTTTTCTGGTGGTGGCTCCAACTCCTCGGGGGGTAGCTGTGGGGGGTCCAGGTAGTAACTCCAAGACTTGTACAGGTTGTGTGTATGATACAACATAAGTCTGGAAACAAGGAAATCTAACAGTCTGAGAAAATATCAATGATGAAACATACAGAATAAGATCATTACAAGGTCAAGGACACTGTTTGGATGTCAACTTGTGATAAATGGCAGAAGGGTGTTTTAACATTGATATGTATCTACTTAAAAGTAGTTGGAAATAGTGGAAATCATCAATAATCATAACCTGCTCATTTTACTGGAGTTAATTAAATATAAAGGTGAAGGTCACTGTCGGGTGAAAGTCAGTTTGGATAACAACTTGTGATGGTTGAAAGTTGAAAAGTATGTATTAAATGAGGCTGGGATGTACCAAGAAGTTCACTCTACAACTTGGATGTACTAAATAACAACATTTTAACCTCTTAGTCTCTGCACAACTTGACAAATATACATTTTAATCAATTATGATGGCTATACAAACTGAGAGAGAGAGCGATAGAGAGAGAGAGAGTTTGTTGGAAGAAGGGGGAGGTGGAGGAGACGTGTGTGGGGTACTCCTACCTATGATGGTCCTCATATTTCAGAGGCTTCCTCTCTGTCTTCACAGCCCCAAACCAGGGCCAGGAGAGGGGAGCGGGGTTCTTGTGTCCCTCCAGGAGATCCCAGGGACTGACAGACACCTTCATGGCCACTTGTAACCCCTGGAGCAGAATTATAGACAAACCTTAATATAAACTGATCTTATTGTGTGCTATCACAGGCATAATTACATGTGCACCTGTGTATAAATAAATATTTTCACTTTAAAAACCTCCATTCCAAATATTATGATTGAACAGGATATCTTATAAACTTTGTAATGAAAATACCAAACTGCTGAACTCATACAGCAAACAATGTAAATACATACCTGTTTTTTATCAATGGAATCAAAGCCAGCAATCTTGTTTCCTTTGGTATCCACCAGGCTTCCATGTGGTTCACAAGTGATTACTTCACACATGCTCTTAGACATGGGGAGGAGCTGGCGAACCTGGGCGATACCATCTGAATACTTGTCTCCTAGCTCTTTCTGTACAGAGATATAAACATATATTATTAAGAAACTGTGGTTGAGAAATATCATAATGTAAATAGTTATAAGGAGATGGTGAATTAAAGCTGTAAAGGCCGAGCATATTCTCCAATTATCTTTGTGCAGAATAATGAACACAAAAATATGTAAATGACTGCAGACACTATGACGTGTCTTCTGGGAAGTTGATGGTGAATTTCAGCATTTCAAATTTGAAATATCACCAAACTTGAAATTAAAATAATATTATCACCTCCAAACTACCACTCTCTCTCTCTCTCTTTCTCTTGTTCTAAATGCTTTAAAGATTTTACCCTTAATTTCCTGCTTAGTAAATTCCACATTTTTCTTCCATCATCTTTGCTGTCTGAGTTATCAGTGACCAGAGAGCCATGAATGAGTGAAGACAGCATGTCTAACACAGTATAGAACAGGTCACTGGAAGATGAGAACTCAATGAACACATCTTTATCTCAACTGGACAGAAAGAATTAGAAATAATAATAATTAAAAAAATGATAAAAAAATTAATAAATATTAAAGCTATCACTGGGTAGCAAGATACAGATGAAAAAATTGAACACAGAAGTAAATTTTACTTTTATGAATAAATAAAAGCATTTGCTTAGGCTTCAATAAAACAGTTCAGATAACAAATTTGTAACTTTAGTCTCCTTGACATTCAAGCAGAAAATGCGGCTATGGAGGTTGCTTTGGTCTGATTGTATTATTGTTACTATTACAATTACAGCACAGTCAGTGCCCCCCCCCCCCCCTCTCTGCACTACCCTATTTACTGATTTAATTTCAGTTACTGAGTATTTTCTACTGTCTTCTTCACTTACTTATTAATATCTGATGTTCTGGGTTTTGAAAAAAAAATGCTGCTTTTCTTAAGTCTAGTTTTACCTGTTATTCTGGGTATCTATGACTCCATTACACACCAGTTGTAGCAGCAGCACAGCCCAATCTGTTGTGGCTTGGGAATTTCTTTGGATTGTATCAAACATTCCTCCAGCCTGGTAGAAAAAAACAAATAAATTTATCAAACCTGGCATGCATTTTAGCCCCAAAGTAAACACAGCAGGTGTCAGAAAAGCATCACCAAAATCACATGAAATCCTTATGGTTTCAGCTTTCAGTTTTAATACATGGATATCAGAATAGATTACTTACCAAGTTAAATGACATACTTATATGACTCAAGCTTTCAGTTTTAATACATGGATATCAGAATAGATTACTCACCAAGCTCAGTCTCAGTTGAAGAGCCTCCTCTACAATCTGCTGAGTCTTGCTATCCTCTGGAAATTTACCCTGAAAGTTCAATTTAAAATTACTTATTAAGACAAAATTGTACCACAAAAACCAAGAATAAAATAAACAAATCAATAAATGAATCAAATTTTAACCAGAGTCAATCAAATAAAATTTCAAGATGTGGTTGAGTCAAATATGCCTTGGCATTGGTTTTAGAAAAAAAAAAAAAAAACACTCAATTACCACATTTAATTCTTAATCTAACTTCAGCCGAGAGAGTTGTCAACTAGAATAACTTGTGGTTTAAACGGTGCGTCAGGGGATTTCAAATTGGAAAAATAATTCAAATATAAAAGCAAAATTGATGCAAAACTGACTCCTCTATAATCACCTCCCATCAATGACATGTCTTCTATCAGAACAGAAATTTTTAATTTTTTTCTAGCATTATAACCCATTGTCATGTCTTTAACACCACCTTGGCTGTAATACAACACATCAAAACTGCTGGATTTCCCACCTCTTTAGCATTATTGACAAACTTCTCCAGCTGACTATGAAGTGAGGTCAGTAAACCTTCTCTCTGCTCATCTTGGCCTTTCAGACATGATAACACCAGGGACAGGAACGGCTGGTGACTTAGTAAGGAAGTGCTGGAATAAATACATTCAATGTAAATATGGAGGAGTCTAAATTCTCATGACATTCAATTTAAATTTTGACTTTTTCTCGGTTCTTTTAAATTTGATATTATTTCACAACATTGTGGGTTGACTGAGTACTCTGAGAGGATCTGTGATAAAAATAAATAAGTAAATAAATACATAAACAATTTAATCCAAATATTGCCGTTTTTCCACAGGCTACTGGGATCTGAAAAAAAAAAGTTTCAAAGCTGAAAGAAGAAATAATGGGACATGACTTCTTTCTACTGAGCATACCTTTTCTGTAGACTTCTGTCCTTTTCAGACTTATTCTTAGAAGACCAGAAGTTGTTTCCGCTCTCTAACACCTGTCCTGCAGATCTGAGCACGCGCCCCTGGACTGAGCTGGGAAGTTTGGCTATCAGAGGAGCCACCAGCCACACCCCCCTGTGTTCAGGCTCTAATCTGGAATAAAGCAACATCACAACATCATATAATAGAGATATCAATATAATTAAGTTTCTAATGTTTTTTATCATCAGTAATGCCAAATATACTGAAAGTATTTTTATTAGTGCTGTACCAGATAAGGGGTGAATAATACTGGTAATTTATGATCATTTTCTTTAGAGAAATTGTCCCAAGAAAAATTATGTTTTCTGCCTCTTTCAGTGAACTCCTGAGGACTTCTTACACTTTATAAATTACTAGTAACTAACAGTAGCAACTACAATGACAATGTTATTATATGCAATTATTCAGCATACTGGTATATTCAAATAATCCTGAAATACACATAGGCACACACACACACACACACACACACATGCACACACACACACATGCACACATACACACATGCATTGTTTTCCTTTTCAGGTGATATATCTCTGGGGGGAGTACAGATACCTGGGTAGCTGTTGAGGATCAGACTCAGAGTTGTTCCCATTATTCAGACTATTTTCTGTTTCCTGTTGAAATATTTCAATGGTTGACTTGGCCACTGCATCCTGGAGGGAACTCAGCTCCTAAGGAGATAATACCAAGCTTCCATGGGATTGGTTAAAATTAGCATGCAATACACAATATTAGCATAAATGAAAATTGAACAAAAACAACAATAACCAGTATCACACTGCTGAAGCTTTATTAAGCACATCACAACGCATCACCTCATTCATTCTATTTTCCTTCCTAAAAGGATCAAAGTTCAACCATCAATCCTCATGTCAAATCTACAACAACGTGTTTCCTGCATAGCCTTAGTATCTTTTTTTTTTGCATGAATATTAACTAAAAGATTTTAAATCACCTTTATACTTTAAATCCACCCTCCATACTTACTGAAGAATTGGACTGCTTAAACATGAGCTGTAATTCTAGCCATGTCATCCTCAGCGACCACTGGTCAAGATTCTGGAACATCAATATATTTCATATTATAACAGTTGTAGTTTTAGCCAGGTTCAGGCAAATTGCGTTACTTATTTTATCAAAATTATAACATAATATAATTTTCATTATTATACACTCAAATATGTTAATTCACTGTTTGTATGAAAATATGTAAGTCTAAATACATCTTTAAAATCAATTGCAAATCAATTGGAAGGGACCACTGAAAACAAACATTTTGTGAAGATATACCAGATAATGTTCATATTATCCTTATAATACTGAACGTTTCATGACACTGAAAGTCATGAATTTTTGCAACCTACAATATGTAGATTTAAATTTCTTAACAAAGAATACTTTACAAGAACCATCAAAAAGAATATTAAGTAAATTTTTGGCTATTATGTATGAATCAGTGAGTAGTCATTCCCCCCCTCCAATACACACAGCTAGCTATTTTACTGTTATGGTTTATTTGCATGATTCAGGTTCCCACAGGGCCTTAAACCCAATGTAGCTTGATTGCCATTTGTCAGGTTCAGTCAAATTGCATTACTTTTTTTGTCAAAATTATAACATATTATAATATTCATTCTTGTACACGAAAAAATGTTAATAGACTGTTTGTGTGAATATATATAAGTCTAAATACATTTTGAAAATTAAATATGAAGGACCACTGAAGGCAAACATTTTGTGAAGAGAATGTACTAGCTAACGTCCTCCTTATCCTTATATTACCGCTACTATTCATGACACGAAAAGTCATGAATTTTTGAAACCTACAACATGTAGGTTTAAACTTCAAAACAAAGAAAACTTAATAACAATCATTAAAAATGAATATTCAGCAAAAATTTTGGTATTATGTCTCAATTAGTAAGTAGTCACTACCGTGCCTCCAATACACACAGCTAGATATTTTTGGGTTTATTGTCATGATTCCGGCTCTCATAGGGCCCTGAAGCAAATTAAGCTTGGTTGCCACTTTGGCAAATTTAGAGAGCTCCAAGTATCCAAGATGGCTGCCAATTACAGTAGAAACAGAATTTTAGTACATTGAACGAAGTTAAATTGGTTATGTCTTAAGTTTCTATATGTTCTGAAGGTTGCAAGGCTTGTTCTTGTCATTCATGATTTTCTTGAAGAAATTTTTGCAAAGTTCTATGCACCACTTTTCTAAAGGTTTTAATTTACCATGTCATCAACATTAGATAAACAGGACAATATAAATGCCCTCGATGGAAAAGATTCTATTACACTGCCATAAATGAAAATTATCAAAAACACAAGCCGAAATATTTTCATACCATTAGCTTACAGCCAACCTGGGCGAGGGCCTTCATCAGATGTTGACACTATGTGAGCAGATGTTGACACTATGTGAGCAGATGTTGACACTATGTGAGCAGATGTTGACACTCACTGACCACTAGGTGGTATAACGGTACGAAAAAATTTTGACTTGTGTTTGATAATTTTCATTTATGATCCAACTACCAAGCTTGTGAACATTTTTGCTTGGTTTTAAGTGCCCTCAGAAAAGATTCTTATATATTACATTGCTTACTGGTTAACCCTGGTTCCACACAGGACAAGCATACTTAACAACAGGGCACATTAAACTCTGATACACTTGTACAAAACCTGATGAAAGCAGTTTGGCACACTAAAGCTACCTCAAATTATACAATAGTCTGCACATTTTTTGTTATTAAGGAAAAAGATGGAAAATGCCATTACTATGGTCATAATTCATTAAAGATGCAATGTAGCAGGGGGCTACTGGACAATATGGCTTATTGACAGAATCCATCAAAATGGACTTCCTATCAGGATAATCATTTCCTCCCATTTGAAAACAAAAGAGAAACAAGAGAAACAAGTAACAGGAGTACAATAGAGCAGCCACACCTACACTTATAACTCTCAATACTGGATTTTTCTTTCACCTATGTATGTTTACATAGGTTCTAAAAATATATTATTTCAAATTCGAGTCTGCCTCAATGTTAACAGCACTTATTTTATTTACTTAACAAAGATGTTGGTTTCAGTGGCCATGAAAATTTGACAATCAACAAATACAGGGACTTTTAAATATTCACACAGCACTTCACAGGGTTTTATTTCATAACTGAGTCATACAACTGTATTAGTATATAATTTTGATTAGATGTAAAAAGCAATTTTATACTATTTTCCTTTAAATAGGGTAAAACAATCATATTAGTATATGGTTTTATTTAACTAGAAAATCACTTTTTTTTTCAAAAGCCTATGTATATTTAATATGAACTAGAACCTCATCCTCACAAGGAAGCCCCTCCCTCTCTGCCTCTGTACTTCAAAGAGTTACATAATGTTTAACATTATTACATTAATGCAAGAGAAGAAAAGGCTAAAAGTAACAAATTGTTCTTTCACATTAATGATTTTAAATTATACCTACATGCTTTTATGTAGGTTCTAAAAATTGTATTTCAAATTCGAGTCTACTGAATAGGAAACAGCACCTATTTTATTTATTTTTCAAAGATGCTGGTTTCAGTGGCCATGAACATTTGACAATCAACAAATATGCGGACTTTCAAATATTCACAAAGCACTTCACAGGGTTTTATTTTATAATTGAGTCACATAACTATATTAGTATATAATTCTGATTAAATATAAAAAGCATTTTTTTCACTAATTATTATTCAAAACCCTATATATATACCTAATATGTACTATAATCTCATCTTCCTAAAGAGGCCCTTCCCTCTGGATATATACCAGAAAGAATGTTACATAATCGCTCTCTCCTTAAACACTGTGGGCAGTAAAAGGAACAAAATATTCCATACAAATAAATCACAACTGAAATTTCTGCTCACATGATTCGTTAAATCTTATCTCTGCACATACAAGTACAGGATGCACACTACTGTGCATGTGAGAGATCCACTGTTTGATATAAACAAATGTTGCAATGA